AGATCGTTTCCCTCGCAGGCACGGCCCCGGGCCGCGCCGAGGTCCAGATGAGGAGCTGGGCTTCCACTTCATCGACCCGCTCGCGCCCGTCGCGGAGAAGGAGATCGTCCCGCGCGTCCGCGTGTTCATCCCGTACCTCGGCATCGAGGGCTGGATCAGCATCACGTCGCGCGGCCCCGCGTCCTTCTCGACGCGTCGAGAGCTTCGTTCGACACCTCCGAGGCCTCGCCCGACGCGCCTTCGACGCCACAGGTTGAACGACGGCCACCTCATCGTCGAGCTCAAGTACCTCCAGGCCATGCACGTCAAGAACCGCATGCTCAAGAAGTGCTGCTACACGCTCTACCTCCTCGAGCTCGCGGACAGGCTCCGGGGCGAGGCCTCCCGCGAGACCCTCAAGACGGCGCGCAAGAACGTCGTCGAGGTCCGCTCCCGCGTCCGCGAGCCCGCGCCGACGCGAACGCGTCGTCTCCGTAGGCCGAGGGCGAGTACCAGCTCGCGCTGTCGAACTACCGCCAGATGGAGCTCTGGTGCTTCTTCAAGGTGTGTTTGTGGGTTTGCAAAACCATCGATCGATCGTCGCCCCCTCCGCAGCTCGACATGGCCCTGCTCGCGCGCCCGACGCTCGCGGGCGTCATCCGCAAGTTCGCGAACGCGATCGCGCGCAAGGCCGCCGAGGCCCGCGGCGAGACCTTCGTGCCCACGCCCTACGACGAGACGGCCGTCGACGCCGTCGTCGTGACGGCGGTCCCGCCCGCCGCGCCCGACGTCGCGCCGGAGCCCGCGCCGCCGGCCGTCGCGGCCATGGACGCGCGACGCCCGCGTCCCTCGTTTGCACTCGTTTTTTGTTCGAATTGTTTGTTTCGTAGGTCTCGGCGCCGGCGGGGCCGCCGCTCAAGGCGCTCGAGGCCATGTCGGCCAAGGAGTGCACCGCGGAGCTCGACGCGGCGGGCGTGCCGAAGAAGGGGCGGAACGTGACCAGCCACGGCGTCACGACCGCCACCGTCCGCGACCTCGTGCGCCGCCTCCGCGCCGGCGAGCCCGCGGCGACGATCAAGGTGCCGCGGCAGCCCAAGTCCGCGGAGGAGCTGTTCTGCCTCGACAAGGCGGAGCAGCTCGCGTGCCGCGCGAGGACCCGGCGTCCGTCGAGACTTCGAACTTTCCCGCGCGGACACTCTTCTCGTCGTCGCAGGCCACGCTCGTCGCGGACGGCGCCAAGAAGGTCGAGTTCCACTACTGCAAGACGGGCGCCAACGGCTCCGACTACCTCAAGGCGCGCTTCCGCGGCCTCGCGGAGACGGACCCGCTCCGCCTCGAGTTCGAGGAGCTCGCGCGGCGCGACGTCGTCGCGGCCGCGGCCGACGAGCTGCCCGTGGACCGGCTCCAGCGCGTGCCCGATCCCGGCCTCGTGAACCTGCCGACGATCTGGCCGCGCATGCGGTTCCCCTTCCGCGTCGCGACTTCGGGGCGCCGGGCGACGAAGGCTTTTTTCCCGCGTCCAGGTACGCGCAGCCGGAGTGCGGCGTGCCCTACCCCTACGGCTCCAAGCTCGGCCTCTTCAAGGGCCGCGTCGGCGGCGGCGTCCGAGATTTCGAGCGATTTGCGTCCTTCTCGTCCGCGACGCGCGTCCGCGAGAGACTCGACGCCTTCGATTCGACGCCTCGGCCGCGCGGAACTTCCGCGCGCTCTAGTGCTTCGGCTGCTGCGTCTGGGCCCAGTGCGCCGCGCGGCCCGAGGAGTTCCCGAACCTGCTCAAGGCCCTGGCGACGGTCCCGCGCGTACGCGAAGCCGCGTCCTCGGTTTCGAGCCTTCGGAGCGACGCGTCGTCTCACGTAGGTCTCGCTCTACCTCACGGCGGTGCTCCGGCCCGCGCCTCCCGGCCCACGACGCGCATTTCTGGATCGTGACGCCGCTCGTAGGTCGACGTCAACGACATGGAGACGCTCCGCGCGCGCGCGCGTCGGCGGCCGCGTCCTCCTCTCGAAACGTGTTTCGAGAGCGCGCGCGCAAGATCGAGGGTCTCGCTCCAGGGCCGTGTTCTTCTCGTAGGCATGTGCTACCGCGTCATCCGCGACGCGAAGCGGCGCGTCGGGGGCCACCCGCCGCGGGCCGAGGACGACCAGTGCCCCGCGTACTACGGCGTGGACTTCAAGGACGAGAGCGGCAAGCTCACGTGCAAGTTCACGGTCCACGAGGGCACGAAGACGAGCAGCCGCAAGAGCGCCCCGGCGGACCGTCGGTCTTCCCGCGTCGCTTTGTTTCCTCGCGCCCCAGACCTTGTCCCGCGGCCCGTAGCGCGCTTCGAGGTGTCCACCG